CATTTGCGATTGTGTAGTCTAATATTGATAGAATGCGGAGGTTATTTGGCTGCGATCGATTCGGGTATACTGTCATTAACGCCAACATCAAAGTCATTAACACCATCTTGAAAGTCAGTAGGAGTAGTATGAGACGTAGAGGTACGCGACCTTTTTCCATTTTTTGCTTTAAGACCCCAGCAAAAAAAGTTTTTTGAACTTACCTTGGGCCTTTTGACGGGCCGCTGATAGAGTTATTAAATTTTACAATGACCATATGCATAACTTGTTTGACCATTATCATGGGTATATCTTTTGTCATCAAAACAGGATAATGATATTTTATTTAGATCATATATAGCTCGCTAATTAAAGACTAACACTTCGGATAGTTTACATTTTTTGATATACTTGTTTGTTATTGAATAGGGTATCTTTGAAATCCCGATGTTGGAAGCTCTTTTTAATCACGGAGTAATTGATACCTCTGGCTGTCTTATCGCTTTTATGATTTATTTTTAATATATGAATACATCTTAAATCTCAGTCCTATAAATTCAGTGATTGGTATTCCAGATGCTTCATCTTTAAATCTGCTAATAACTTTGTTATTTGTTTTATCAAAATATGGACTGTCTTGTGGATAATCACTACTGTCAAACTTATCTTTGTTAGCCGAAAAGTCTTTATACACATCTTTCGCAGTGATTTCATAAGTCAATGAATCCGTATCTGTAAACAACAGTTTAGCTTTACTACCATACTTTCTTTTTGATATAATGATAATTGAAATTATACATTAGTGTTTTTGAAAGATCAAGAATACACATCCCCACGTATGCCGGCCTATCAAGAGTAAGTTTTTCCTTTATCGTATGCACTGTAACTAGATTTTCATTAAAGATCTTGCTATTAACAAAAATTGGTTTTGCAGCTAGCTTGGATAATTTTTTTTCATCCGTTACACGTCTTACATCAACTCGCTTGGGGATATTTTCCATTGTTTTACCGAATACTGAATTATTCATAAGCTTGAAAAAGTCTTCCGCAAATGAGTTTTTAGCATTAGTTCTTTTTTGGGTATTAAAATCAATATATTGCTTTATGATTGATTGAATTCCAATACACGATGTACTTCCTTTAGTTTTAATCCCAGATCAAGATATAACTGCAAATTTCTGTAATAAAGTACATACTTTTCTTTGTTATACAGGGTTGGGATTAGTTTTTGAACCTGACCAATAGTAATGCCATATTTTTCTCTTATATATTTACAATAATTTGATAGCACATCTTTATTAATTTTTGTTTTCTCTGCACCAAGAGGATAATCATTATGTAAATTATGGATTTCTTTAGGATACTCAAGATCAACTTCTTTGATTAATCCTCTTTTGCTGTCTTCATTATACGTAGCTAGATTAGTCTTTTCTATTTTTTTCTGACTCATCCATTTGAAACCACCAGTCGGTAAAACAGACTCATTGTGCAACCATAAAGGTTTTTGAGAAACCTTTAAGTTAAAGTCTTTGGGTGAATACCATGATCTATTTCTCAAGTCGCATATCCTGTTTATTGTATTACAAGCTAGATCCATGTCATTATTTCACATCTCCAGGACTATCATGGGATGCTACGTTAAAAACTTGAGTTGATAACTGATATTGATATGTTTCAGTTTATCGGAAAAGGGATGAGTGGAGGCATTTCATACATCGCTAACAGATATGGAAAAGCAAATAATAAATGCGTGAAAAATTATGTAGTAGTAAACCATCAAAGTATATCATGTATTTGTATGCCAATCATTTTGAGCATGTTTATATTGCTGATCGGAAATACCTCCATCAGTCAGCATACTGTAGAAATCATCTTTTGATGCCAGTTGTGTGTCATTAAATCTATCCACACTGCTCATGTAATCATATGGATAAACACCTTTTTGTTTCTTAAGCTTTAATTTCTCATTTTTGAATACATTAGTAGTATATTTAAAGGCATCACTTGGAAGGTTTTTAACCAGGTTTCCAAGACTTCAGCTCATAAATTGGAAACTGTTAAGAAATACAAGATGTTTTCCAAGCATATAAGCCATATATTTTTCCCTATTGTTTGGAATAGCATTGATATCCATGTTTTGTTTTTTAGCTATAGCCCCAGTCTCTTGTATGATAAAGTGACTACCATAACCTTTGAGATTGTGAGATTGTGAAATACAACTGGTATTTTCATCTCCTTAGCATTGATACGCAGTTTAAGATTACAATCTTGATGCGCTGATCCTCTGTAATCACCAGTAACATGACAATGATCCGTTACGCGGGTGTCTGTTTTGTTGTTTGCTTTGTTACATTTAGTTGCTTTTGCAAAGTTGGCTTCATCCGCATCAGTCATTGCCAATGGTTTGTTTAACCTTTTTGCGGCAATCTTTTTACACTCTTCAACTTCTTTTAGCATCTCTTCCATAAATTCATACACAGCTTTTTCACCTCTGCAAATCTCAACTGGTTTAGCGTACTTGTTATCATAACAGCAAACAACCTTGTAACCATAACTACAATCAGTATGTTTCTGATATGATTCTGTGCATGACTCTGCATTGTTTGGTAAACAGCCTTGTACTTTTTCTGTGATAGCCTAAAAATCAGCATAAATAACAAATGGCACTGGCATCTGTTTATGAAAGTTTTGGAATTTGAGGATGTTATTGTCCTTTCTGGCATTTCAATAGCTAATTAGTCTTGTGATGGTTAAAACATCTTCGCTACTAAAACATTTGAGACAATGCATGCAGAAATGATTTTTACATTTATGTTTGGTTTTATTGTACATCAAATTATTGAAGTCTTGTAATAAGAACATAATGCCTGATTTTATCTTCTGTTATTAAAAGAAGGTTCAGCACATCTTGGTTTGACTCTTTTCATATGTAAATTGGATAGAATTGATAGTTTTCATATCCAAATACATTGATGTTGATATTATTCTGTTTTTCAATTTTGTTGTATTGTTTAACCGCAACTTGAAATCCAATTTCTTCATAGTTTAACTGCTCACCCATTTGTTATCGTTTTTTTTTATCCTTTATGGATATTTTTCTTGTGGATTTAAAAGTCGGATATGACACCATCTGAAGCACTCATTATTCTCATTTTGAAGGTTAGTAAGTCCTTCAGCTGAGTTCCTCAATTCTTTTGGTAGTTTAATATATGATGATCCCTTCAAAGGGTCGTATATTACTGTGTTAATATAATGCTCATAAAAGCTAAAAATAGTCCAATCACTACCTTTAGAGAGCCAAACAGCCATACCATTTAGTATTTGTTGCTTTGATGTTTGTAAATATTAATAAAACTCATTCCAGTTAATTATTGCTTGCGTTCTGCTGTTGAAATTAGCGGGTTTGTATATATTTTTATCATCTTTTCTCCTGCGATGAAGGGAACTTTCATTGTTTCAACAAATTTGAAACCTTTCATATTATTTAATATTTTTCTGAAAAGCCTCTCAATAGCCAATCTTGTATTTTGTAATTGGACTAACGGATCTTTATCAGTTTTTAATGATATTTCAAATGATTTGGTAAAGCCCTTAAGATCTTTTTCGGTTTGTGTTATTTGTGTTCTTGGTGTTGGAACTGGTTGTGTTTTTTTGGTTCTTGGTGCTGGGATTAGTTTGTCTCTAAACTCAATTGGTTGAAGAATGATGTTGTCTTCACACTGCTGAACCATATGTTTAACACTTTCACCTATTAGTAGTAACAGGTTGTTTCATTTATTTTTATTTTCTTTCTTCATATAATTAGTTTCGATAACATTTTCCATTCTGTATATATCCCTATTATATATAGAGAATTATCTCTTTAAGTAGTTTTGCTCAAAAGGGGGACTTTAAGAGCGAACCCTATTAAGTGAAGTAAATCGGCTTAAGATGTGTAAAATCATCAAAGATACCCCTTTTAAGCTAATCTTTGGATAAATTATTTCGAATAAGAAAATAGAGAATGAGGATTGAGTTTCATCTTTTGATTATTGTTGATAAAATTGTCATATGCTTTCAAATGTCTATTGGTTTCATCAATGAGATTTGTTCAACTGTTCCCGTTTGATATCCAGCAAGTCCATCCACTGATCAAAATGATAGTATTCTTTGATTTCATTGAGATATTGTAGGAATATTTGTAACTTCTATACATTAATGAGTCCCTAAGGGTCAGTGCCACAAAAGGGGAGAGCCGCAGGATATATTCGCATGCCTAGGAGAGGGGCATGCACAGCTGAGGGTAACCATGATTACTCCTCCCCCCACCTCTGCAAGGCTTGTGAAGCTGAAGAAGGAAGAACACAGATTCTCCATTTATCTATTTATTTTGTTATTTAATTATATTGTATTAATCACTATAATTTGGCAAAATTTGGGTGGCAGGGGAGGCAGAGCCTATGCCCCCTAGGGTAGCGGTGTCCCTTGGAGGACCCCCTAGAGTAGCGGTGTCTCTAGAGGCAACCCTACATTAGAGTGTAAGACAGGGTGGACCAGAAGAGGGGTGCCCCTCTGGAAGGAGAATAGGTCAGATGGTGAGTTGTACCATCTTGGAGTAAGCAATCCGGACCTATTGCCAAGGAGGGCTATCCCACATACTGTGGGGTAAAGTGCAACCCAGGGTGCACTTCCCTGCAACGATTGTGTGAGCCCAAGATATTCTGGTCAAGAATGGGGGAACACAATCACCCCACAGTAAATTGTGTCGACGTTGGCTGGGATACCAACTGCCACATGGGGAAGAAATAATATACAATATAATATAGGTATGGACAAGCCTCAGGGGGAGGGGTCGAAAAACCGTTTCACCTTGTTTGGTTTGCACAGGTATTTTAAAATGGAGGTCTAGGATAAGGAGAAAAACCCAACAGCCTTACTGATTAAAATAGTAAGAAACATATTTAAGAGTACATAGTAATCATAATAATAGTAATCAGGTAGACTACAAAAGAACGGTCTAACCTACAATTATTACGGCAGTTCATTGACAGTTGTTTAGGGATAGCTAGCAGTGTTTCTTGAGGAGTTCTTATGTAACGTTCACAACAGTCAGAAGACCAGCGACCCAATACCTTGATTAACCAGGCAGGAATCCCTGTAGCAGCTACAGTAGTCGCGGCGCCAATACGGAAGCTATGTGAGAAATAGTGTTGAGGTTGTATGCCGCATTGCTGCAGGACGTCACGGAGTTTATGAGTAAGAGAAGTTCGGGTGAGCCACTTGCCACTAGTAAAGGTGAACAGGGGGCCTGTTGATGATGGTTGGCACTGTAACACATAATCTTTCATAGCCATAACAGCACAGATAGAGGTAGTGGACCTTGCGAGGGTTAGGGCACAACCATTGCGGAAGGGATCTGTTTTGGACCGTTTAATCAGGACTAGCATGTAATTGGGGGATTCAATGTTAGGGACAAAGGTGACATCCCTAAGGCAAAGGTGAGTTTCTGGGTAAAAGACTTTGTCATTGCAGGTAAATTCGCTTGAACGTAAAAAACCCAAAAAGGCTAAGGTGAAGGCTGCCCAGAGCATAATGTAATTAAGATCACAACTCAAGCGCAGTTGGTAAGAGTTGAAAATAGACTGCAGGATTTGGATTGTAATTGGGTAACGATCTAATTTGACCGGGGTTTGGGAACGTTGATCCCATTAAGGACCTTCTGGAATCTAAACATTTTTGGGAGTTTTAAGGGGAAATTGTATTGCCTATGGAGGTCTTGAACAGCAAACGGGTATAGCTTAATGGTATTGTAGGAAACGGTCTTGGCTAAATGGGAGACAAAATAAATCAGGGTAATTTCAGATGCGGGGAGAAGGGGCGTAGAGGGGCTAATTAACCCAGAAGGAAATGAAATGGTTTTGACCGACACTATAAGAACGTTCGGTGGCTGGGGCAAGGGATGCACCAAAGTAGCAATAAACAGAAGTTGTTAAATTGATGTCGCTGATGGAGGGATGACGCAGGGGGAGGGAGAGGCGTTGGGAGCCAGGTGACGGAAGCGGTCCATCTGAAAACGGGACAAAGAATCAGCTATTGAATTATCTAGTCCAGGGATATGTCTAGCAGTAAAGGCAAAGTTGTGTTCTAAGGTAAGAATTGTAACAGCTCGTACGCAGTCCGGAATATCCCTAAATTTAAGGACAGGGCCAACTGGTCACGCGACACTTTTCAACCAAAATGAGAATGCGCGCTTGTGTTTATCAACAAACAAATCAAAACATCGCCCCGGCGGATCAAAAATTTTCAAAACAACGGACGGCGGCAGACAGAATCAGTCATCGTTTCGAGGCTCTCAGGAATATTTTGAAGACTTTTCATGAGGCATACACAATTTTTTTAAGTGGACAGCGTATCGGAAGACATATTGGAAGTATATAAATATTCAGCACATTTTGTGGCTTATTTCTTCTTTTATCCTTTAAACAACGCGATGCCTAGGAGAGAGTTTGGTCGGTTTTCAAGGTAGGTGAACAAGTGTCTATTATTTTTTCGATTGACAGATTTTTTACGACGTTCTAGATATTTTTCCTCGATTGTCCTATCGATTAACTTTTATCATGTTGAATGTGGGGATGGTAGACAACCTAGAATTCTGGTAGACAATTTTTGAATTCCGAGGTCCAAAACACGTACGTTTTCCACTCCCGGGTTTCTCACAGAGCCGTGTTATTACTTTTTTTCGCATTAGTACGAGCCTTTGCCTTTTTTCTTTTCAAGGCCAAAACAACTTTTATAGTCTTATGGATATTAACGTTCAACATTTCGCCTCACTTTGCCGAATTTGCGGGGATGAAATTTGAAGATCATAAGCGCAACGTAGAAACTAACCGCTTTGTTTCTGAAATTCACTAATCTGGAAAGATTTAATGTTGAATTGCATTCTCCAAATGTTCATCCACCGTTAAAAAACAATAAAAGAAACAAGGCAAATCTCAATTGTAAATGATGTATTTCGCTACTCATTGAACATGCACTGATTATCTGGGATAAAATTAAAACATTGTAGGTACTACAGCAAGCAAAGAAAGCACCAGACGCGTAAAGTCAACACGAAACAACACAAAACACAAACAAGAAGAATTAATAAATTTGAACTACTTTCTATTCTTGTTATGATGACTGATTCTTTGATTCTTGTCCTGTAGAAGTTAATAGGTACTACCAATCCTGTTTTGTACGATCTCAACAAATTTTCACGCTCTCTCTAACGCTATTTTTCACGGGACTAGTTTGCTTCTATCAAAAATCTTGCAAGCCATGCCAGTGAAGCCACGACCTCCGCGATCGGTCCGGAATCAGTTGGAACACCCCAATGATTCGTTCCTTGCAATGATTAATGCTCTTATTCTCTTACATGAAATGTTTTCTTTGAAATATTAAATGTGAAACCTAGACGAGTACTGTAAGCTCATCTTTAATTCTGTCCGACTCCGTCCGTTGTTTTGAAAATTTTTGATCACTGGGGCGATGTTTTGATTTGTTTGTTGATAAACACAAGCGCGCCCTCTCATTGGTTGAAAAGTGTCGCGTGACCAGTTGGCCCTGTCCTTAAATTTAGGGATATTCCGGACTGGTACGAGGTCCATGATCCTAAGGGACTTAGAGCGTTTGGAGTTGATGATGAAGACAACTGGCAAGTTATCGCAGCACATACAAATATGTTTGCCTGACCAGGAAGGGCCCCAGAGGTAGCAGGCAATGTAAATTGCAAATAGTTCCTGCCAATCAATGCTGATACCCATGGTGGGGTTAAGGAGGTGTTGAGGGAGCCAGGTAGCCTGAAACCATTCCCAATTGAGATAGCCACCATACCCATGGGACCCAGAGGCGTCCGTAAATAATTGTAGGTCAGGCGAGGAGAGAACATCACCCCCTAAGTAAAGGCTAACTCCATTCCAATGGTTAAGGAAGTTTAACCACATGGAAATGTCTTTGCGGAACTCCCCATTCAATTTAATGTGCCAGCGATAGTTAGTGATGCCCTTTGTTAACCTAATTATTCTTTGCAGAAAAGCCCGGCCCGGGACAACGACCCTGCAGGCAAATTGTAGGGTACCGATCAGGGACTGAAGTTCCTTCAAAGTGGCAGATTTACGGTGTAACCACTGTTGAAGGGCCTGTTTAGCACGGATTAGTTTGTCGAAGGGAAGACGAGCTTCCATTCTTGTGGAGTCAAGGAGAATACCCATAATTTCTAACGAGGTGGTTGGAGCAAAAGTTTTACCGGGGGCAACAGGGATATTGAGCTCACTAAAAAAACAAAGGATTTTGCAAAGGGCTGTAAGGCAGTCTGACCTAGGGGGACTAGTGACAAATAAAAAGTAATCCAGGGTGTGGATCACATTAGGGATACCTACAATCAGGGACAAAAGTAGTTGACACACTTGTTTAAAACGGGTGCTTTTAACAAACATTTAATTCATCTATTATTTCATTCTTTTTAAACGCCGTAAATCCCCTCACCCCCCCGAATAAATGTTGTCTGAAGTAAAAAAAAGACTTGAGGGTCCAAAATTCAACATTGATTTTGGGGGGAAAGGGGTTGGGGTAGACAGGGGAAGGGAATAAGTATATCCACTATCCAAAAAGGGGCCATTTTACACTTTTGTCCCTCATCGTCTGAATGTAAAATTGCGCTACTGCACACAAGTTGAGCTGTGCATGACACTGATTTTAACTGAAATTAAAGAAATCAAAGACATAATTCTGTTATTGGTGATGGGGGTGGCATTGACTTATTCACGACCGGATTATAGGGCCAATTGGAATTACGTGATGACGTAATAAAAGGGCTGCGATATCCAGAATTAACGTCGATATGGTTTACAAGCTAAAAACTGACGCTGAAACTCGGGCACATGTAAACTTTTGATGAATTTCAAGGGTATGCGTACTGAAAATGTTTTTAATAAAGTGAATATTTCTCGCCAAGAATACGTATTGCGAAGTACTTTCTACATAGCGGAATCTTCTTTTGCTTTTCGTGAGGGATTAGCGCATAAAAAAGGAAAATTTTCCAGCGCACGGCCGTCATCGATCACATGTTATCCCGCTTTCCTTGTCATCAAGTGAACTTCTGGGCAAAACTAATTGCTGTTTTGGCGATAATGCAAACTGGTGTGTCTATATTGAAAACAATTTCTTTGGTATTCTGTGATTTACGAGCTGGGAAATGAAATAGTTGTCCTTCCAACATCAATAAAAAAATTATGCCACTGAATAAATGGCAGGCGGTCATCTAAAATCATTACAAAAGTACATTCCAAAACCTGGTCTAACCTGTTCGACGCCTACTTACGCTCAAGGTTTGGATCACTTAGGTTTGAACAGGTCTCCAAAAAAAAAACACATCTATATATAGGGCATAGCACAAACGGCTGGCCCATCATTTATGAGGTTCATAACCTGTGTGTGTTCACGTTCTTTTACTAATGGTACAAGTCAATGTCAAAAATAATGCATGTCCCCTCCGTTACTCTGCAGTACTTCATTCGCTTAAGTTAACCATTTACCACAACAATTTTCATTGCACCTTAGTGTTTCCATCCTTTTTCCACTATTGATAATACTTGTGAAAACATTACATCCGCTGCAACGGCATTAATCACAACACAAATGATTTCCTCTCGACCCCACAGGGTATCAGGAACGCGCGCGGGAGTACAAGATTAAGTAATGACACACGCTTCGTACATTTTACTCTACGTATACTACAAATCAGGACGAAACTTTACAAATTGTTGTTTCTAAAAAAAACAATTTGGCCCATGGAGTAACGTCATTGCACAAAAATTCAGCAGCGTCAAAACTATAGCCGGGAAACACAGATACATATTTCATACAATCAGGGACAAAAGTAGTTGACACACTTGTTTAAAACGGGTGCTTTTAACAAACATTTAATTCATCTATTATTTCATTCTTTTTAAACGCCGTAAATCCCCTCACCCCCCGAATCAATGTTGTCTGAAGTAAAAAAAAGACTTGAGGGTCCAAAATTCAACATTGATTTTGGGGGGGAAGGGGTTGGGGTAGACAGGGGAAGGGAATAAGTATATCCACTATCCAAAAGGGGCCATTTTACGGAAGTGTGTCAACACTTTTGTCCCTCATTGTAGCTTATTTTTAATTATCCATTCAATCATGCAGGAAAATTGGTCAAAAAGATAGGGTGCCGATCGCAATCCAAAGGGGAGCACTGTATCGAAGAAGTACAGGCCGTTCAATTTCATACCAAGGAGCTCCCACTCGGATGGGTGTACTGGGATATTGCGGAAGGCTGACTTGATATCCAACTTGGACATAAAGCACCCTTGACCAATGTTCTGAATGATAGAGATGGCGGTATGTATTGTAATGTAATGTAAGGAGTAGTCAGTTGGGCTAATGTGGAAATTGACGCTAGTGGTTTGATGTTTGGGAAAGGAAAAATGAAAAATGGTTCTCCACTCTGTGGAGTGCTTTTTGGAACAACTCCAATAGGATAAACCTGAAAATTGGGAAAAGGGGGAGAAACGAATGGGCCAGCAGTGTGACCAAGCTGTAACTCTTTCAGGAGATTGGTGCTTACGATATGTGGATTTTGCCTGGCAGAAATGAAGTTGAGGTATTCCTTAGAAACCCGAGGACCCTGGAAACCAGTAGGGGTGGTAGGGGACAGCTTAGAAAGGTATTCAATTGCGGCTTCGGGTGGAACGGCTTGAGCGGCTAGTCTTTGATTGGGTGGGTCCAGAGCTTGAGGAGTCAGGGTGGTCCTTTCCTGGGTGGGCTGCAGTGCATCCAGGCTTGTTGCATTGGTGAGTGTAGGGGCAGGGGGGTGCGGGTGCAGGGAACCCCTTTGTTGAAGTTGAAGCAGAGGTCACCACGTTTGGGCCCTGAAGAGTCCGTAGACCTGGGAGAAAGGGGGCAGGAATCGGTTACATGATCCGAGCTACTGCAGGCCTTACAAGGTATGGCTTTTGGGACGCCAGTAAAGGTGTCTAGGTACAACTGAACATCCCTTTGACCCCAGTTAATGGAAAGGTTGTGAGAGGCTCTTCGGCGAAATTCCATATCGTACAAATACCATGCCATACCGGGGAACGTACGGGCTGACTCACGTATCAGTTGCTGGTAGGCGAAGAGGTCCACCCCCCGGGATGGGTAAGAGGAGAGGAGTACAGACGAGCAAATGGCAAAGGCGTCGAGCCATCGGTCGATCCCAGTAATTTTGGGGCGCTTAGCCTGGGATGGGAGGGGTATAGTAAGGCCATCGTTTCCTACTTGTAGTTTAAGCTGGGAATTAGCGGTAACGTGGTCTCGTAGTAGAGACGAAAAAGGAAGAAGGCTAGCAAGGTCCACGTACTCACCGTTTGTTATGGCTGCGATGCAGCTGTTGGAGAGATGGCTGGCGATAGAAGGGACTTTGTGGTTGGTGTGCAGGAGGGCTGCGTCTTCCCGTGTTCCGAGATTCAAATCTTGCTGAGAGGAGGACAGCGAGAAATCCAGAGAGGACGGAATCTGTTGTTGTCCGCCATTGCCGACCGGTGGGAGAGAGGGATCTGGTACGAGGCTTGTAACGAAAGCAAATGTTGCTGAGCGGATTGTTGGGCAGATGGCTAAACGACGCCAGATGTTGAGGTCGACAGCGAGTTGATCGCGGAGTTTAAGGTTGCCAGTTTTTGCTCCACGATAGAAGCAATCATGGAGGCCAACTGCTGATCCGGTATGGTCGCTGGGTCGGTAGGTGGCGATGTGGAGTCCTGAGAATCGTTCGCTTGGAGGCGAGCGATGAGCTGCTGCCGTGGCCCTGATTGTACCAGGCGGCGCTGGGACAAAAGTAAACGTAGTGTTTCGGTCGGTATTTGTGCGTATGCACGGCCATTTGACTGAGCCGTGGTAGACGGAACCGTAGTACGTTGGCTGCTTCGAGATTTGCGTTGTTTCGGCATGATACGTACACGGAGAGAAAAATACAATCTTAAAGAGTGCGAGTAGGCACTTGCTTGAAGAACAAAGCTGAATTGTGGCTGACTAATGGTATGAGGGGTTTACATAAGGCGAGACAGGTGAGAATCATGTGATATTGTGGAAAATTACTGGAAGCTTTGGTAACCACTTTAACATTGTAAAAGTAAAAGTACTTTGAGCTAAACAATGAGCTATTGACTACTGCGCAAGCCTTGATTGCAAGGGTGAGGAGAGTAGAGTACACTAGGGACAAGTGAGGAAAGAACTAGTACTCCCCTAGGGCTCATTAACCCCAGTTAAGAGCTTAAACTAATAATAATAATCACAATCCGCAATCCACGACAGAACATCAGATACATCAAATTGTAAATAATCACAACCATCAATATTAATCATATTAGTAACAACTATATCGAGATTAATCTATTTTAATCTGGCCATAAAATTCTTTATTTTATTGTAAGTATTGTTTAGGTTTTATATATATCTATATCTATATCTATCTATCTATATCTATCTATATCTATATATATATATATGTCAAAACGTGGCTAAAGAAATTTCAAGTGCATTTTAATCGTTTGACATCTAAGTGGAATGGGAAGCAGTTAAAAGTCACTAGCTGAAGCGAAACAATGACAGCATTATTGCTGGCAATAGACGGTAAAATTCTCTCGCAGAAGTAACAGGATTTTGCGAAGAAATAAACATTTGAAACGCCCAGAAATAGTAGTCTTTTAGTCAGTCAAACCGTGAGGCCCACAGCTCAGTGTCGGCCGAAAACAGATTAAGAATCCACAATCTTTGAGCACAGAACAGGTTTTCTATGACAAAATCACCTGAACTAAACACTCCCGAAGCGTTTTTATGCTTGACACAAAGTAATCTAGTAACACGAGCTCACCCGCACGTACCTGAGATTTGTCTGTCAACACTTTCGGTAAATCACACAATAAATGACTTTCACGGCAATCACAGCACTTCCCAAAACCATTCATAATATCTCCACACTTAACACGGGCGAAACATCATCAAATTACTCCGTAAAACTCTCGCTTTCTCCACATAAATCGTCACATGGAACTTTTCTCAACTCACTGACAGTCGATTTATTCAAAATCCTGGATGTAAACCAGCGGTTGAAAAGGAGACATACAGCCCCCGCCTTCCAAACAATTTTTCACTAAGTCTTTGGCCTGGTCAGAAATCAGCATGAATTTCCATCTTGCCTGATAGATTTCAACCCTAGAACCTACTTTGTGAGGCCAGAGACTTGTTACTGCCAACAACAAAGCTCGCAATATCCAATCTTTCCGTCTCAATCCCGGGATCAGTCTATCACCCGTGTAGCCCGAAATGAGACAAAATACCAGAAGATATTGGACGCAGCAGACTTTGCCAGACGTGGGAGTTGTTCCTTCACAAGGCTTAATGATGCCTTCCGGAAAACTTTGCTCAGTGAAGCCAAAAAAACTCTAAGATAACCAACTATTAGAGCCGAGTTCAGTCTAATAAGCGCGCTGATTTCAAACTGACATACGGAGAGAATTATGGCAAGTTATGAAAAACATAATAGGTTAATAGCGAGCGAGAAACCCATCAAAGTCTATCTACTGTGGCCTATCCGGTACTGATTAAATAAATAAAAAGTAACTATGAAAAAGAAAAAAAAAAAAAAACATGCTCCACTACAAGACTCTGTCAGAGGGTATAGAGATTTCTGTAGCCATGTTTTTGAGCACTTTTTAGTTGTTGATCAATTTGAATTTCGTCATTTCATTGCGACAACGCTGTTTCGTGTGGTCATCAGGCAATATTCACGAATGACCGTTAAATTACAAGAACTGGCAATAAAAGCTAACTTGGGGTTGCTATGGTATTTACAAACAGTTGCTATAGTAAAAAGTGAAGTTATGGTTGCTGTGAGATATAAAAACAGTAAAAAATAGATGCTACGTGACAATTAGCACTGGTGATGAAAGGCGTAGTAGGGTGATAAAATGAATCGTGTGTTGCAAAAAGATTGTGTTACTTGACAACAAAGTTCTTGAGTAGGCATCTGGTTCTGTGTGGGCATGAGCTTGGTAGTTCATTACGCTTGTTTAGACTGCACAAATTCTTCTTACAGATGATTACATATGTCTCAAATAAGCATAAATTACATTTGTTGCTAATACTTTTATAAGGTTTGCACTGCTTAAGGACTCTCCACTTGATGGTGAAAGGTTTGTTGTTGTCATTGAGTGTCCAAATGTGTTTAGATGGTTCAGTTTCGTTTCTCTTGCGTTTGTGTCGAAAGGATGCTGTATGATTCCTGTAGCGTTCTTTGAAATTTGTGGCGAGGCCCACGTATGAGTCTGATAATGTTTGTGTTGTGACTGTGGCTTGGTAAACGACATTTTGTGTGAGGCATCTTCCGTCCAGCGGGCACTACCTACTCATTTAAATTCTATAGTTATCAGCGATGATAAATCAGGTTGACCCGTGTGGTACCCCTCTCTAGCCGAGTCAACTAGTGTTTGGCTTGTATCTTGGTTTTCACCCAAACCAACAATTAAAATCGCATTAGGGTAAAATTGCGGACATACTGTACAACCTTATGATGTAGATCCGTTTTTAAACATGTAAATATTTAGATTATCAAATAGTTTGTAATAACCATATTTTCTGATTGGTGGAAGCACTTCAGAAAAAACCCAATCTCTGAATTTTTCAGCATTTTGTAATTCACATTTGAAAACTAATTCATAAAACCAAGTTCTGATATGAAAAAATTGATTCTTATGCTGACCCCCCATTTTAGCGGGGTAGGTTTTTATACATTTTTCAGATACATGAGTTCTAATTGCTTTGTCCGTATCTTCATAACCAAGGATTTTAGCAATATCTTTTCCCTTGAACCATTAACCGGCCATTTCTTACCGTAACAATTTTTTCACTGTTAGAAACACATTCAGTAACCTTTTTCTGTTTAACACAATATGATTTTGTCATTTATATATTTATGTTAGATATTTTTATTTATCATCAATAAAATCACTCTGATAGCTATCATCGCTGTAATCACTCGAACTTTCTTCTAAACCCAAATCTTCAACAAACTCTTGGCAAACCCAAGTTTCATCATGTTCGTCACATTCATGTCTGGTATCCTTATTACAATATTCACAATATTTCTTGATATAAATGGATTACACAATTTTAAAGGCTCTTGCACTACTTCTCTATAAACAGCTCATTTTTCATAGTGTCATTAATGTCAAAGACTCTTAGCAGATCATATATGATAATATATTTTTCCTTTGCTCATCTCATTCTTAAAGTAAAAACGGAAGTAACCGCATGTTGTTGTGTTAACATTTTGTACCTGGTTGTTTTGGTGTAATAATGTAAGATTCTCTCTTCTGGCATGATTTACCAACTCTTGAAAAGGAGGCATTCCAAAACTGTCCAAAAATTTGATAATACCATCCTTGACATAAGTGGCAACCCAAAGAGATCTACTCATGTATCTAGGTTCAAGATTAGAGGTAAATAATGCTTGTCTATGGTCATGAGGAACTGTCTGATCTCTCGACAGCACATCTTTTATATGTATATTCAAAGATTAACACCATCGCAACAGATCATGATTACTCATCGGGATATTTTTGTGGAATTTAGGTTTAATAGAGGTAAGCCTTGCCCCTTTTTTGATGTTACCACTACCAATCGTATTACCGCACATCTGTTCCTATGTTCCAATAAAAGGAGGAGGTGGTTCACACATTCCAACACAAGGGGCTCCTGTTCCTCCCTGAGATGCCTTAGGAATGCTTCTAGTACTTCTCCCCAATCTTGGTGCTTCCTTACCAGTTATCTTTTTAACCAGTTCAATAGCCAATGGAATACCGATTGATGCTAAAATAGTCCCAAATCCGTTGCCTTGCTGTGTTTTGGTTCGTTTTATATGAACACCTGAACCGATTTGAAGAGCATTAAGAATATCTTCCTTCTATTTTGTGGAAAGAAGGTGTTTATACGCAATCAGCTGATTGATTTTACTCTGTGGGATTAAAAAACCTCCTAATTTTTAATACTGGTGCTAAAGTTCTTTCAAAGCCTACAATACCCAAAATTAGATTGCCTCCAGAGATCTTTTTCACCATTTGACTGGTACCTTTACTAGCAAGACCTGCTAATGTAGATAAACGAAGTGTTTTACCAGTTGTTGGCGCCAAGGCTCTACCCATTGATAAAATACTGGTTAATAAACTACCTCCTACTTTCTTTTTTATATTTAATATCCATACTTTTGTTTAATTTACGGTTTTCATTTAACCTCTTTACAACATTTGATGGAACATATAGTGTATCTGGTCCTGTCAAAGAGTTGTGAGCCTCAAAAAATTCTTTCTGTTATATGATAAGCATAGCTGAGATTCTTTTTTCGGTTTTTCAGATAGATTTACTCAAACATGTTAAGCCATGGCCTGAGGCTAATTTGTAGAAATCTTATAATGATCATAACTTTGTGAAAATTTATCAGAGCCTTCCAAAATTTGGCAACCTCGGAAAAATTGCTAACCTTAATTTTCCTGTAACGTAAGAAATCAGATATCTGTGTCACGAGACCACTTATGGCCGAGTCCAGGAAAGAAAATAAAGCTAAAAACGGGGTGGCGAGAAGCCACACAGTATATATTAAATACAGTATATTTATTATTGTATCATCATTATTTCTCGCTGGAGTCTGGCCGGAATGGTTGACTCACAAAGTTGTGTCATATAATATATGTCAGATAATCTTCAATTAAAAAACATATTTAAAATCACACGATAACCAACTCATTACCAATCTTATCAATTTTAAGGATCTTTTCAAGAACAACAGTATGAGCATTGAAATTCTGAGTTGCATTAGCCTATAATCTGTATCTGAAAATCAGCTGTTTGGGATCTCTTGTTACCTTTTCTGTCTGATAGGTCAGATCAAAATAAATCAAAGGAAACAGACTGTTATAATTTAATAGTAAGATTCAATTGTGTACCAGTATTATAATCACTTTTCCGCATGGCGTAAGCCATCAGGTCATTAAAAATGCGTACTTTACTTTCGCTATCATACTCAGTTTCTGGATAAAAGATACCATTACGATATTCTAACCTGCAACTGCTCAGAGATGCTCCATCTAATGAATATACGCCGGACTATTTTCAGCATGCCTGCTTTCATTTGCATTTCTGTAGCTTTTTTTGAGATAGCAGATATTTCAAAAAATCCACTTGTTGTTGTACTAGCTGAAACCTCATACATTTCACTCATGTATGTCCATTGTGTTATTTCTAGAAATGAGCTGACAAATTTATCATACATGCTGTCTTTTGGAGTTAATTTTGGAATCTATAAAAGAAACCTGTTAACAACAACACCACCATTATCAGCACCATGGGGCTTTGTGTATCAATTCATCATCATTATTTAGCTCTATGTTGAATTGGAGATGCATGGGAACTAGCATTTTGTCTTCAAGCTCTTCAAAAAACTGTACCGATTCAATGGAATGATAACATTAACATTTTTTCCTCCCGCGTTTAAGGCATCATCACGAGCAACTTTAGTTAAGAGTGTTCTCGCTTCAAAACCCGTATTATCATTTGCATTTGCTATTGTTAGACCTGTATCTAAATACCATAGACTGTTTTTCGCAACTGATCTACTGTAATCATCAGAATACTCCAATAAATTCTTCACAAATGTAACTTTATGAAGGTTATCTGTGTCATAAGCAATCTTATCTGCTGATTTCACGATTAGATGCTTGATAAGGCTGTGAGCGCCATTAATTACTGTTATTCTATCGGCATCAGCATATATGCATATATATCCCCGTCTTTACTATAGTTAGTAGCCCAGATGCGACCGCAGCCATAGTCAACAATTATACCACTTCCTTTGTGTTTATACACAACGTGCCTAGTTTTGGGTGAAAGAATCTCATGAATTCATATGGTTTCATCTTTATATTATAATGTTATAAAATGTAGTTTAGTTGTCTCAAAACGAGACTACCATGCAGGCCAGCACTAAGCGAACCGAAATATACGCGTACTACGCGTCGGGAAAGACGAGTCAATTGCGTCAGGCCGGACGCGTCCATGAGTCTGAGTTGACGAGCAGACGCGTCTGCTCTGAAATGCGCTAGTGCACATTAAGACTCATTAGTATGTATGAGCTAACTCTTTGTTTAGAGGTGTTATGTGTCGGTGAATGATCAAAAAGCCTCAAACTGGTGGATTGGCACAGCAAATGCTAAAAAAAAAATGCAACACGCAACGTGCAACTTTCGCTTCCCATTGAAACTCGAATTTTTGAACACCCGATGCACATCTACATGTATTTCGATGACATATTTCAAGAGTCGAGTAAACAGTCACGTTTGACACAATCGGAACCAAGCTAACGTAACAATAGCGCGGTGGAAACTTCACTTACAAAATTATCTTGAGTAAGCGCTGATAAGGAACTTCACAACATGACAATCAACATCAGTTTACTCGATCAAGTACCTTTTTAAAACGTTTTAAAACAGATTAAAAACGAAATACAAATGACTCCACGTAAAACTTACACAAGGCCAAGATACGTCGACGTATGCTTATGCAAATTATTACGCATGCTATTGATATTTTCAGAAAACTTAAATAGAATTGATGCTCAATTTCGCCTTGAAAACAAATAGTAAATGGGGTCTCGAATATGACGAGTTATAAAAGAGGACAAGAGTACCCCGACTGTATTCCCTCTTTAATTTAAAGAGGCGAAAAAGAAATCCGCTTATTTGCTTACCTTCACTCACCTTCACCTTCTCCTTCTTGTCTTCTTCTCGAATCCAATCAACCGCAAGATTCTGTAAAGAACAGGCTAAATTAGCATCACCTTTTTTTCATTTTTGTGATAACATACTTTTTTCCTAAGCTGCTAGGAGGTCAGGTGCAGTTTCCTTGTCACTTCTAGAATCTAAACAACCTAGCGCAGTTTAAATCACTTCCGCCTTTCCATATTTCATAGGAAAATGACTACACTCACTAAATCTTAAAATTCCACCCTTAAGATGTAAGTTTTACGTGAAACTCATAGTTCCGTTTATACACCAAAGCGTGCTGAACTATACATAAAACAGCTTTTTCTCTCGTGAGGCCAAACTGAACCGACTTACTCCGCCAGCTTTCTCAAAGCAACTGTCTGGAAAGTTTCTTTCCCAGAGTCCTACGCGCCGTGGCCTCGGCTTCATCACGCAACGTCGTTCGTCACACGCCTACTTGAAAAACGCTAATCGGCCATGAAATCTGTTATGCAATGTCAGCAGACGTTTTAATCATCATAAGCGATTTTTTATAAAAGCTGTTTCTGCATTTTTCCTTGCCCTGTTCCAGGAGAATTATAAATAACCAAGCCTCTCGCCTTCAGCTGTTTGTACAAGTATAGTAATCGCATGATTTCGAGTGCAATTTGGAATAAATAATCACCAGTAACTTTTTTCAAAGGCTAACAAAATTCGGGCGAGTGCAATTTGTGGTCTTTGAAAAAATTTACGAGTGCTTATTTATTCCAAATTGCAGGAGAAAAATCATGTGATTAGTTATTAATAATATTCATGAAGAAAGTGCAAGATAGCTTTAAAATCACATTGATAGAGTCAACACGCGTAAACTACGTGCAAAAATAATTTATTGAAACGCCGCAAATATCATCACAGGTGCAATCAAAACAACATTTTTCTCGATGTTTTAAAAGTTTGCAAACCGCAGAAAGGGGCTAACTAAGGCAGTTCATGGAATTATTCAATCTGTTTGAATTAAAAATTCTGGGTTATTACCTCCGAGTTTTCCGCTCTTTCAGAGGATTTCCTCTTCCTCCTCTGATCAGTCATGTCCAATACTGTCGCACTGTTATTACGGACCTTTAAGAGCAGTTGACAGATCGCACGCTCCGTACAAACCGTCAGCGTTGCTAACGGTCCGTATTCTGAGCACATACGGAGCGTGCATCT